TACATATGAGATAGACGACTACAAGACAAAATTTCAAGTGGTGCACCAAAAAGGAATCTTGCAAGCTATAAATGTATTATCTATCGACATCTCCATGATACAAATAGAAAAATAGGAAGAACGAAAGTTTCCTCCATCAATAGAATGTGGTGTAAAGATTCCTGGAAATCCTACCAATGCAAGTCTCATTTTTAACATCTTGAATCTATTCTTTCAATCTATTCTTTCTGAACATATAAAGCATTGATAGTTAATGAGCAGAATTGTACCTTCAATTAATAATTATAGGATTGCCATATTTTTTTTTCTGCCTTCTTGCTTTCCATAAAATTCTTTCAGTTTCTTCCTTGGCGTCTTCAATGAAATAGTAACGTACATCTTCTCCTAGTATTTGTCATGTTAATATAAATAATATCACACAAAATACTAATATTCATTTCACAATCTAGCATAGAGAAATATTGACTCTGACTGATCTGCAAGCCAAATAAAGCACGTCGAATTGTCCCAGTGAACCATACTATTGAAAATAAAATTCCATTAGAAAGTGTTCCATACTCTTTTCCTCATATTATTATTGTGGGACAGCATGTTTTCATATTCTTTAAGAATGGCTCGTTTTTTTTTTTTTGCTCGCTAAAATAAGTTTTAACACCACTCCACTATCTCTTATGAAGCATGAATGCTCCTCCAAATCTGTCCAATATCTAGGGCAAACAGACACGCCTTGAATTCGAGTCCAACATATCTAAAAAACCCAAATACATCTTAACCACGTCTTATTGCCTCAACAAATGGCCAATCTTCTCCTCTTTTTTTTAGCAGCCAGACGCTACTGAGCACTTTGGGTCAGTTTTATTGAATTCTAAAAAATGAGGCTATTTTATGTTATTAGACCAATCTGAGCTAGACTCGAATCTTATATACCTACTCTACCCAAAATCGGGATCTTGTCCTTCGAATGAAAATCTTCTGAGCACATGAAATGAATAGATTTATATAAAATATAAAGTATCGATATTTTAAGTATCACAGCAGGACCATATCTTAAATTTTTTTCTAAATAGTTACATGCCATTATTTCTTTGTTCCGTCATGTCCACGTCTCATATCAGTTGCATGCTACTCTATATGCATGTGAAGAAGATGTGATTGACAATATTTAAATTTACACTATTTATACCATCTAGAAGTGTCTTTCTTTATTTTCAGGAATCACCTGTTTTCTTCTCTTCAATTAAGCAGGAGAAGCTTCTTTCGATCTCCTCATCGGAATCAACAATAACTCTATATTCCCTTTCCAGCACCAGGCACTGCTAATATTCAAGGTGAAATCCTTACTCGCTTCATAGAATATTGTGTAAAGTTCAGATTCAATAATCAGGGAATAGCTTAATATTGGCTTTCAAAAATACAATTACACAATTTCCGCAATACATGGTAATGAGATGGCAGAAAAAATAATGAAATTCAAATTGCTACCTGTTCAGAAAATGGAATTACTTTCTTTGGATCTTCCTTTTTCACCACGCTACTAGCGCAAAAGGCATTTTCCACTTTTACTGATTTCCACCTTCCCACTTCCTCGCTTTGTACTGCAGTTGCTCGAATGCAAACATTTGGAGACGCAGGTTGGCTGGTAGTAAGTGGGAAAAGTAAGCTCTCTTAAGATGCTAAAGAACAAAGGACCAATGCTTATAATTCCATAGTGCATAAACAATCACCAGAACATTGTGGGAGCTCTCTTAAGATGCTAAAGAACAAAGGACCAATGCTTATAATTCCATAGTGCAAAAACAATCACCAGAACATTGTGGGTGCTCAAGAGTATGATTTTCATGCCATAAGAGAGCATTACTGATAAATGGAAACTTCTTTTCTCCACGCATATACTCCACATGCAATATGATAGAATTTAATGGAATATAATACCAAAATTCCCTTGAGAACTTCCAGACTGCTGTACATCAGAGCCAACCCATCTTGTCAGAATAGAGTTAGGAGGCAAATGCTTTTTATCGTACATTTATAGCAATATTTGTTACAACATGCACTTACGTTCATTTCTTGGGTGAATGTGCTGATGAAGTCATTTTTTCATTTCAGGTGAGATGCTTGTACTTGCTTTTCCAATGCAGAAAGAACATCGGATATCTCATGTAGCCTTTCTTGGTATGCATCGTTCTTAAGTTGATCGGACATTAATTTGAAGCCTCCATCAAGAGTAGCTTTCATGTCATCATGTTCTTTGTTCTGACGTTGAACTTTGCAATCATTAGTTGAATGAACAATTTAGACATTATGATTAAATTGAAACGAACTTAATGGTCAATAAAATATTGCAGTGATCTAGTAAAATTTTACCATGGATTGCAGCAAGCTACTGCTAACAATCATCTTTTGCCATATGCCTTCAACTGCAATTTGAAAAATCTATAAGCATATTATTTGAATAAACTTTTAGTCCTGAAGCTTTAAATTGAAGGTCAGGAATACTTACTGATTTGGGCACTTTCCCTTTTCACATTCATAACATAGCAATCTTAATCCTACTTTATGAAGGAATTGAAATTCAAGAAAAGCATTTGCATCACCTTATTCCTACTTGAGTAACAAGCACAACAGGAATCAATGCAAAAAGTGTGTTTCAAACAGTAATACATAGTTTCTCTTCAAATTTTACTTTTCAGCTTGAGGGATTGCAAAGCTCACCATCCAGAGAAATTTGCTTCATTCCTTTGTTCAGTTGCAGAATATCACTATGAAGAGAATCCAAGATCTTTCCAAACTTGTTTAATGAGTTTTCTATAGTACCAAGGCGGCGGTCAAGTTCTTCACCAACTTGACCTAAAAAGAAAAGCTGAAACTATGAAATTAAGCCGCAATAAATGTATAGAGGTTGTAAGAAATGACAGTTGATCAACCTGCCTACTCAAACAGTTATACCATGCTGTAATGAAATCAAACAAGCTAATTGCAATAGTTTGAGTCCATCATATGAATCCAAGGGAGTGAACTTACATTTAGAGTCTGGAAGAGGAGTTGATTTCCATCGCTGTGTTAAACTGGTTGAAGATTTAGAGAGTGACAACTGGCAATCTTCTCTGAAAAAACTAGGAGGAAAAAAGGAATTCTTCTTTATTGAGTTTTCTCGGTCTTGAGAGCTAAATCTCTGCAAACAGAATGGCACATCAAAGTTAAGTCATAAGACGAGATGAAAACAGAAAGAACACCACTGTAATCAGAAAACTTTATTCCATGTTAAAACGACAGCGTAGTCTAATCCTCATTGCTTATGAGAAACTAAGTGCACTCGTCATGGTGCTTTCTTATACGTAAATAATACAATAATATATCTGTAAGCATTTTGTAAAACTAAAGGTACATTTTGAGGTATTTAACTTCAAAATTCTGAAAATAAGGATGGTTATTTCAGATGAGTACAAAAACTCGACCGACTTTTATTTGCAGAGAGGTGCAAATATAATCACAAGCATACGATTAAACATAAAAATTCTAAGCAGTCTTTCAATATTGTCAAGACAAAACGAATTCCGTAATGCTAATTATTTAATCGAGTGCATAAACACATCGACTATCAGTGTAGCGCCTGAAATATGTACACGTGGGATGACAAAGAGCCATAGTACTTTATCGACATTTCCTTCATTTCTTAATGCACAAACAAAGTCCTAAAACCTGGAAATCCAGAGAAGAGCCGAGATTGACCTGTTCATTTGTCACGACTTCGTCAAACGAGTTCTGAGAAAGCTGAGAATACATGCCGTGCTCAGATGACAGACCCAGAGAAAAGGATTGTTGCGAAGGTTGTGATCGCAACTGTGGTGCTTGCTGCCCAGTGGTTAACGTATTTGACCTCCTACAGATCATCAAGATCATTCATATTTTCAATTTAGAACACGTTATTAGGAATTTTCATATTTTCCTTTAATATTTTTTGCCTTTCCTCTGGAACAGATTTGAAAATAGTGACGTAAACTCAATAGATGGGATCGAGTTTGCAGCGAACTCAGCTTGCAATTTCATGACAGGATTATTGTCTGAAAACGTCGAACTCTTAGTCATCTGTTTTTTGTTTTTGTTTTGTTCTGTTTTATTTTTTATTTTTTTGGTCCAAACTTGAAGTAACTGAATATCGTATCGATATAAAATAAAGTCAGTTCAATCAAAGAATGAACCTAACTAAGTTGTGCAAGTAAAAAATTCGAAGTCAGTAGTAAAAACTATTAATGATGTCAATCTCTTAAAAGTTCGGATACAATAAATTCCTTCTGAAACGTCAAGAACGCAGCTAGGATCAAAATGAAATCCATACCCTTCAGAACTCGGAACACAATAAACAGCTAGAATCGCATGGAATACTTTTTCCGAAGAAAAAAAGTCAAGCCACTGAATATGAACAACATTGCAACCTAAACTTCTTGCGCATTGTTATCCCTGAGATCTTGCAATTAAAACAAATTATACTGCTGAAATTAAATAAGATCAGATGCATGCCTGGATTGAGGAGGAAGAACGGAAATAGAACTGAGATCGTAGGCCTTGTTTATCTTCAGCCGCATTTGATTGAAAAACTTTCAGCGGGAAGACTGAGAAGCCAAAAACTCTTCCAACTGTTCGATCAAAACTGCAGGCGTGATCGAGCTACGGAAGAACGATTGTAAACCGCAACCAACAATCGCTTTGCCTGCAGTATAGAAATGAGGAGGATCTCCAAGCTTGAAAGTCGTTGATCTCTCCAAATGACAAATATGACACGAAGAGAAAAAACACAATGGCGGGAAACGCCGCGCGCGATTCCGAACGGCCCAGCCCAAATTCCGAACGACCCACTTAATATTTAACTGGGCTGGTTAATTTTTTATTATTTTTTTTTTTGTTAATTATGAATTAAACATATTTATGTTGGTTAACCAAATTAATTAAAATATTATAATCTTAAACAATATATATGCAATGACACGGATTCTTTTTTATCCCCTAATCTGTCCGCATCCGGAATGTGGCAAGTTCTTCCAAATTCACAAAGAATGATGTTGGAAAACGGGAGATTGCTTCCAAATCTTCCAAAATCAGTCTTGTTTGAACTTCAGCTCGATCAAATTTGGAGGTTCTCGTTTCTTCTTCCACGAATCGGCGAATCGTGACAATCGGCGAAGCAGAAAGCTCGAGAGAGGGGCGCGGTAAGAGAATGGATGAAGTAGACGACGCGATCAGTTGATATGATATTGTATATTTGCTTTCGATTTCTTTTGCTTTGCATAGTAAATTCGAGAGCACGATTCTCTTTGCTCACATAGCTGATTCATTGGCGCCAAAGACAAACGACTCTTCTTACCGAAGTAAACGGTACTAAAACTGACAGTTCAATTCTGAAAAGGATTTTTTCCTCTTTTTCATGCCCATTATGCTTACCATTTCTCTTCGCGGTCCGACTTTTGAGTAGCTTTTTTCGTTAATTTGTTGAATTTCGTGTCTCGCTGAGCTTGTTTTCTGCTGTTGACTCGTTTTGTTGTACTGGGTCACTGGATTTGTGATGGTTGAGTTCATATTGTTCACGAGCATCATGAAATCGGTGAGAGAGAGAGATGGAGAGAGCCAGAGACGGAGAGAGGGAGGGTGCTGAAAAAAGAAAGAAGTTCATAATTTTGGTAGAAAAGCAAAAGTAACTTTATCTGATTGGGATTCATAGAATTAGTTCACTGTCCCATATGGAATTTTACTAGTTGATCTGACATGGTTTTAGAGAGAACGTTGGAGAAATATTTTGTTGGGTATGGAGTTTTGATTGGACAGTTTCCTCGAGTGTCTTGTCATGGCGGTTGTGAGTTCTAAGCAAGAAGCTACACCCCGAGCTGGTCCAACTAACTATGCTGAAGCTTCGCCAATTATGATCAGTTCAAGTAGAGAGATTGTAGAAGTGTCAGTCGGAGCTATTAGTGAAGATATTATTTGTGTTGCTGTTGGGAAAGATGTGAAAGAGTGCTTATCAGTTTTGAGGTATGCACTAAATTCCTCTCGTGGGAAGAAAATTTGCCTCCTCCACGTTCATGTCCCTGCACAGATGACTCCATTAAGTAAGTCTACGTTTACACGGAGTACGATCTGAATATGACATGGATTATGTGAAGAAACTTGTACTTATATGTTTGCATCAAATTTTGACTGCGTGATTATACTTGTTTTCCTTGGCCAGACGGAACCAAAGAGGAAGTGAGAGCATATCACAAGTTTGAGAAGCAAAATTTGCTGAGGGTCATGAATGAGTATATTCTGTACTGTCTTCAAGAAGGGGTATGTATCTTTCAGTCTATTTTTCTTATTGGCCTATTTTACATATGAAATCAGATTTTCTTTACTTTTATGATGTATTAGTAAAAGTGAAATTCATTCTCCTGTTTCATCACAGGCTTGTTATGTGGTGCTGGCTTTGTCATCAATTTGTTCTTAATTTTATATCTCCTCACTATTTTCCTAATATGAACCTTGAATTAAACAGGTTCGTGCCAAGAAATTATGTGGCGAAGCTAAGAGTGTTGAGGTGGGGATAGTTGATATGATTTCCCTGCATAGGATTAAAAAGCTTGTTATGGGAGCTGCTGTAGACAAGTGTTATTCAAGGTGCAAGCCAATTTATAGCCATTTTTGGATTGATATACATTCATCTAGATCTCTAACTGTGACGTTTTTTTTTTTTGTTGGAGATTTTTAACTGTAATCTGAGGATCATATTAGTTCTCTAGATTTGCCTCATGTTACATGCGTTTCCACTGTTCTTGTTCATTTTACCCACATTGCTAGGTTCAGAAAAAATAGTGGTTAAATATGTTTTATGCAAAGAAGGGCAAGTAAATGCTGATAGTCCTTGAGGAGAGTCTTTCATTCCACGTTTATAGGAAGTATATATAGAAATTATAAGAGTGTTTTATTCCATGTAATGAGGCTTGTATGTACTAGCCCTGTGATCATCGTTCAGGTTGGCAGGCAATTGCTTTGATTGATTAATAGAGATGAGAGCTTATTAACATAATGACAAATATTTAAATAGAACTGTAACATAATGACAAATATTGTAGGAGAATGGTGGATCTGAAGTCTGAGAAAGCCATTTACGTGCGTTCGCAGGCACCTGCCTTCTGTCACATTGAGTTTATTTGCAAGGGGAACCTCATCTGCACCAGGTTAATTGCTGCTTGCTGCTTTGCAGATTTATTTAGATATTTGGACACGTTTCTATGCATGTGTCTACCCATAAGGCGATAACTACATTGATCATCTTAATTCCGAAAGAAAAAGATTCAACTTCTCTTTCACCGCTTTATAGTCGATGTTTCTCTCAAAAGATTTTGCATGAAATGGCTTTGGAGCTCCACACAGTCTATCTTGATATTTGTTAAAATCTCAGAATTGATAATCTGATTAATAATGCAATTACTAGGGATGGTAGATCAGATGGAGCTCAAGTAGAAACTGTCTTCTTATCACCGCAAACAAGTCCAGACTCAGAATCCTCAGAAATTTCCCCGTGGAGATCTCTGTCACTACCACCGGGACAGTTTCATAGCAGGGAAGTTGGATGTTCATCTTCAGATTTACGTCCTAGAGGGAGATCATTGCTTGTTGACCATTTTAGAGGGAGCACACTAAATCCGTCTTCTCCTGATAATATGAATGGGGTTCATACTGCCAGAAACTTGGATGTTAACGAGGCTTCGGATGGATGGGGTTTATTAACACAGAGAAGTCCTTCTGAAAGGTCAGACAATTCCATACGCTCTCCTCATGATGTGATTAATATGGCTCCTTCTCCACCTTCCAGGGTTGAGTTATGTGCAAATTGGCTGGAGGTAACTATATGTCTTGCAAGTATACATGCAATTTAATTCTTGACAACGCAATGTGCTGGGAAGTATACTAGTCATCATATATCTTCATGATGCAAAGCAATATAAGTTTGAGTTCTTTATTTGGTGATGCATTGTTCTTTTTTTTCTCTTCTACAATCCACCCTCTTTAACCCCAAGTAAAAACAGCCGACAAAATTCTCTCCAATTTTAGCAGGATGCAAAGTCCGGTGATTATCTTTACAATCAATGTGAACGGGTGATGATAGGGGCTGCAAATGCAAGGCCTGATTCATTTTTCGAAGCAATTGCACGCGGAAAATCTGAGAAAGAAACCATTAATGCTCTACGCAGGGTGAGATTGATATATTGAATAAAAGCATTTATCTTTATTAAGTTACGATGTTGATTTATGACTACAAGTTCTTCACATGTCTTTGATGCTAAAAAGACTGCAAATGCTTTTGCTTTTGAAATATTAGAGCCATTTCTGCCAAGTGTTCTTCATAATCTTATCAAATACATGTGAGATGTGGGCTTGGGATGGGATGCTTGGTGTTTGTCCCCAGAGCTTTTATTATGTAAAATTATTGCTGTATCCCAAAGATTAGTAAGGTGGGCCATGAGGATAATACAAGGAATGAGGCCTACCAGTATCCTGCTTACTAATTTTTTGTTCTTAAATAGTTGGTAGATGCTGTTATCCGTTGAGTCATTTGTAATGTGTTACACCAATCTACTTAATCAGTATAATCCCAACACATTTTGCTCTTGCATTGACAAATATACAGGTTAAAGCTGCAGAAGTGTTATATTCTGAAGAACGGAAGCAAAGGAAGGAGGTTGAACAAGAACTAGTCAAGGAAAATGCAAAACTTGAAAGTATAAAGACAAAACTAAATGAAGAGATGGAAGAGCTCCGGATGGCCCAAGATCAGAAGGCAAGTTTGGAGAGAGAACTTTTAGAATCTGATCTAACTGCGAAGGAGTTAGAGGAAAGGATTCTTTCTGCTGTTGAATTGTTACAGAGTTACAAAAGTGAGCGAGAGGAATTGCAGATTCAGCACGACAATGCACTTAGAGAAGCAGACGAGCTTAGAAGAAGAAATCAATCCACACGCCGGTTCCTTCCACAGTTCTTTACCGAGTTCCCTTTTTCGGAGATTGAGGAAGCAACTCAAAACTTGGATCCTTCCCTGAAGATTGGAGAAGGGGGATATGGGAGTATATACCGAGGTGTTTTACGTCATACGACGGTGGCTATAAAAATCCTACATTCTGATAGCTCTCAAGGACCCTCTGAATTTCAACAAGAGGTGAACCTTCTCTCTTCTTTTTTGTTTAAATGTCATTATCTATATAGGAAAAGTTATTTGATTTCGGGGCGATTTCTCTGTTTTATCCGGTTTATCAGGTTGATGTATCGAGTAAGATGAGACATCCTAATCTTGTCACGCTCATTGGAGCCTGTCCTGAAGCTTTGGTTCTCGTCTATGAATACCTTAGTAATGGAAGCCTCGAAGATAGGCTCAGCTGCAAGGATAACACTCCCCCTTTATCTTGGCAAACACGATTACGCATCGCCACTGAGTTATGCTCGGCCCTTATGTTTCTTCACTCAAGTAAGCCCCACAGCATCATTCATGGTGACTTGAAACCTGCAAATGTATTACTTGATGAAAACTATGTATGCAAGCTTGGCGAGTTTGGAATTTGTCACTTATTGTCACATGATGAAATGCTAAACAACGACGAAACACTTGTTTGGAGAACTGACAACCCCAAGGGGACGGTTGCTTACACGGATCCTGAGTTCCTTTCATCTGGTGAGCTAACAACAGAGTCGGATGTCTATTCATTTGGGATAATACTCTTGCGGTTGTTGACCGGTAGATCTGCAATGGGGATATCAAAGGAAGTGCAAAATGCAATTGAAAATGGAAAGCTAAAATCCATTTTGGATCCTTTAGCAGGAGATTGGCCATTCGTGCAGGCCGAACAGCTTGCTCGATTGGCATTGAGGTGTTGTGACGTGAACCGAAAGAGCCGCCCCGATCTTGTTACCGATGTCTGGAGAGTGCTTGGACCAATGAGAGCTTCATGTGGGGGTCTATTGTCTGTCAAGCTCGGTTCTGCAGAACACTTGCAACCTCCCCCTTATTTCATCTGTCCCATCTTTCAGGTAAACCATTCTGCCCCCTTGCACGTTTGACTTTCAATCTTCGACTCCTTTTTTCAGAAATTCGGCTCGAAGTCTCTGATCTCAAGGCTTGGCTTGTTTTTCACATATGCAAATCCACAGGAAGTCATGCAGGATCCACATGTGGCTGCAGATGGCTTTACATATGAAGCGGAGGCCATGAGAGGATGGCTAGACAGTGGACACGATACTTCGCCAATGACAAACTGTAGGCTCGAGCATCGCAACCTCGTCCCAAACCGCGCTCTTCGTTCTGCTATCCAGGAATGGCTCCAACGAAACTAAAACGTTCCCATTTTTTGGTCACCATAATATGACTGAATGTACAAAAGAAGGTGATGCAACTATTTTTCTTTCATATTGGTCGCCCTCTTTTGTTTTCCTTCTGTACTGAATTAATATTTTAGTATGTTTTCTATAAGCTTGTACAGTTTAGGGTATTATTCGTGTTAAAGAAAACATGAAGCTGCGTGCCATTTGTTTATAGCAATGTATGGATTATTGCCTTCATTATGCTTATGCTTCCTTTATTCACAATGAGAGGCTATAGGCTTTATTCATAAGTAGTAAATCTCACTAATCGTTAAATTATGCTCGTTTCGGTATTGGTTATCGTTCTACTAACAACGATCAAATGATGTTTGTAATTTTAAATATTATGTTTTTGTTCATTTTTTCTGTTTTTAATTTATAATTTAGTTCTCATTTTTCATTTTCTACTTTCTATCTCAAAATTATATTTAATAATTTTTTCTAAATGATGTAAAATTTTTGTAGTAAATAAATTTTTATTATGCATATTTTGATTTCACTTGGTGGGTTATGAAATAATTACAATTAGTTAAGAAAATAAGAATTCAAATCCTCACTAAAAAAATATAAGAACCAATTTATTTAAAAAACTTACCAAATTTGAGTACTTAAATCTAAACAAACTTGTTCGGTCCTTAAATAACTTTTGAAAGGGCTACCATACGACACGAATACAAAAATGACCATGTTAGTTTGATTACAAGATCGTCCCTATCCATCAGAGAGAATAAGACAATCTCCCGTCACAACGAACCTTCCATCATCAAAGCCTTTTACATAGAATTATAGAAAAATGAAAAATATAAAACTCGGGGAACAGTTGAATTTAAACTTTTAAAAACATTAAAGTATTAAAAAAAAAAAAAAAAAAAAAAAAAAAAAAAAAAAAAAAAAAAAAAAAAAAA